ATACTCCTTAATAAGACGAATTTTATGGTTTTTATTTCATAAAAATTGAAGCATTATTGACTAAGATATATCAATTTGAAGTTTTTAAAACAATACTTGAAACATGCTATATGACCGTTATGTTTTGTTTATAATTCTTCAGGCTATATAATATTATCAACCATTATATTAAATGTAAAAGTAGCAAAAGTTTTGATTAATGCTAAAAAAATTCTTAAAATACAAAAAATCTTACTTTAAGTAAAGTTTCAGTTTTAATATATTTATTTATTTTATAATAATTAAATTAATAATATTATTTTTTGCAGCAATGGATGGATGAACTAATTAGCATAGAAAATCAATATATACTATTATAATAATTATACCAAATCATAAACAATATATTCATTCAGTTGTTGATGTCTCTAATTATTTACATACTAATAGTTTTAATGCAAGTACAATAGAAAATGTAATTGAAAAAATTGAATTAAAAAATTTTGCAGCTATTATAGTTGATGGAGAGGCAGCTATGTAAGTGGTAATTAAAGCAATCAATTAAAAATTTTCATAGATTATTTCAATTCATTGTATTATATATTTACTAAATCTTATTACATCTGATATTATTAGTATTAAGTAAACAAAAAGAATCTTAAGTGATTATTAAAAAATAATCATATTTTTTCATTTTGTATACAAAGCTAATGTAGTATTTAATGATAAATTTAAACATAATCTGATTATTAGAGACAGTCTTAGACTTCAGTTAAAATTCAGTGATTTACTGCCTAGGATTGTACTGAATCAATTTGAGATATAAAACTACAATCCAATAAGTAATTATTTATTTTATATTTTTATTTTTTATTTTATCTTTAAAGTATACATAATTTTATTAGAAACTTAAATTTATAATATATTTATTAATAATTATATCCTTTATTTTATTATTTTAAGATACTTGAATAATATCCTAATATATTTAAATGTGCTGATACTATAAAAATAATTATATATAACCACAAATTTTGGACTGATGTTGAAATTTTCAGAAATATTCTTGTATCAGCAAAACAAGTTGTAAAAGAAGTTAAATATAAAACTGCAACTTTGGGATCAATATATGTTAAATTATTAAAAATAGCAAAAACTATTAAGAAAATTCCAAATATTATATTAAATTCAGAGTTTAAAAGAAATTGTATTAATATTTATAATAATCAATAGATACAATTTGATTCAAAGTTGTTTATCCTTAGGTATTTTTTAATTTGTATTATAGAGATAAATTATCTATAATTTTATATTTTTAATTATTATATATCTAATAGAAATTAATTATTTTTTTATTTTTAATAAAGCATTAGAATTTTAATATAGAGTTTTTTAAAATGTCTGCCAATTTGCTATTGAATTATAGATTAAAAATATAATGGTAGTGAAACTAGTAGTAAAATTCTTATAAAATAAATAATTGCTTATCAAAATTAGAAATATTCATATGATAAATTATTTAATTTACAAGATGGATCTGTTTTCAATTGGTAGAAAAATATTGAATAAAGAAATAATAATATTCAAAAAATTGCTTTTAAATTAATATCAATTGTACCTTATCAAGCGACTATTAAAAAGTTTTTCAGTTTTAAGTTAGTTAACTCAAAAAGGTGAAATCAGTAAGAATGATTATTAATTTATTAATATATATTTTTTTTTTACATATTTAATAATTATTCTTTCTTAGCTTAAATGTAAATCATCTCTCAGATATTTCTAAAATTTACTTTTACTATATCACTAATGCAGCTACAAAATTAAATTATGTTAATCAGAATATTTACAGATAAGGAAATTAAAGATATTATATCTCGAGTCACATATTGTATGTTTACAGAAACAGATATGTTTGATGATGAATATTTTCAAGATGAATCAGATTTTACTCAATTATATATAGAACTAATATTAGATTTATCTTTTAGTAAAATAAATTTGCGTCTTGAAGAATATTTTGATTTTAATAAAGAATTTAACCAAGAAAAATTTTTAAAAAATACTGAAGAGATTGAATAAATTGAGCATGAAAATAAAAATTTTGATATAGAATCTCTTCTTTAAGATATTGAATAAATAGTATTTAGCAAAATTTATAATAATTTTTTACAAATTTACACATTCATAATACATTTTTAATAAGATAAAATTTGTGATTTAGGTAATATTTGTAATTTGAATAAAATTTGTGATATAAATAAAATTTGTAATTTTAGTAGTATTTGTAATTTATAAGAAATTTAAAAAATTTGAGTTTGAGATTTAAGATATCTTCAAACTATTTGAGTTTGTATTACAGCCTTTAACTAATTTGAATGATAACTATAACTGTGATCAGTCAAGTGAACCAATAAAAATATTTTATCAAAATTTAGATTTTTCTTTTTCTATTGATTAGATACCATATTATCAAATAAAGAAAAGCTATTAAAATATTAATAATAATAATTTTAATAATATTTTAAATTTAGATAATAAATAATAAATTATGTAAATTATATAATTATGATTAATAAACTAATAAATAATAATGATATTACTATTAAGATCTAAGCTTATTAGTAATAATTATAAAAAGTATATTAAAAATAAAATTATTAAATCAATTACTTTTATATTAATTTATTAATAAATTTATAAAATTATTTATAATATCTTAAGAATTTAATTTTTATTATTTAATTTTATAGAAAATTATCATAATAATTCTTTTATTAATATAATCAAAATCTTATAATAATATAAATTAAATTGACTAATTTACAAATTTTTTAAATCTAATTTTATTTTGCTATAATAATATATTTTTATATTTATAAGATATTAATAAATTTATTAAAAATTTAAGAATTAAGTGTAAAAGCTTTTTCTTTAAATTATAATATTAGTTTTAAATATTTTATTAATTTTTATATAAATATATATTACAATTATATAAATAATAAAAGATAAAAATATTATATATTAATTAATTAAAAATAAGTAAATTATTATTAAAACTAAAAAAAAAATAATCAGCCTATTAATTAATTATTAATATTAACTAATACTTATTTACTTAAATAAGTGAAAATTTAAGAAGAATATTTGTAATTATAAATAACATATATAATTTTATATTTAATTTTAGATATTATTATATAAAATATTATTTTTGATAATAATTAGTAGATAAAATTTAAAGAATTTGTAAAAGATAAAATTTAGCAAAATTATTATTAAAAATTTGTAAAATTTCAGAAAAAATAAATTTTATTAAATTTTATAAAAATGGTGAAATTATATTAAAACCTTAGTAAAAAATAGCAAATTAAAGATTTAACTAAATAAAAATGGGTTTAGATAAGCAATCATATATATATTCTATTCATTAATAGTTTTATTTTTTTCATATTTTATGCAAAGTATTATATTTTTTAATACTTTTTATTTTTATTGAATTAATATTAAAAGATATATTATTTATTTGTAAAATTTACTTAAAAAAATAAAACTTCTTTTCATTATTTTATTACAATTTACTATGATCTGTTTATTAGTTCTAATTTTTTTTTTAAAAAAAAAAATACTAATTTTTAATAAAGTTATAATACTGTATTGTATAAATAGTTAAAATTATCATTATATATTTATTTTTATATTTACATATAATATGAATTTCTTAATCCTTTGAAAGAAATCCTTAAGTCTTACCTTAAGATCATAAAAAATTAATTAATTAAGAAATACTTACTTACTTTAAGACTTGACTAAAATATCTAGTATAACTCAACAAGTATTAGAAATGAATCCAATTATTATAAAATATGATAAGCAAATATGTGTTAGTTTCTATAAAAATGTTAAATGGTCAGACATTGATTAATGTATATTTTTTTTTTAAAAAAAAATTCTAATTACTTTATTTTATTTTAATGGATTTATTTGAACATATGTAACACAAATAAATCTTTTTGTAAAAATTTACATGATTATCTTGTTTGACTCATGACTCACTTGAAGCTCTGCTAATTCATAAAGAGTTACTGTAGGTATATCATCAGCTTTTCTTGAGGGAATTACCCACTTTAACTTTAAGTTTTGCGTTCTGCCTTACCTTTCTTTTCTCCAATTCCTTGATTCTGCTCTTAAGCTAGACTCTTAGCTTTTTATTATCAACATTAACCTCAATAATTCAAACTCGGATGGCATGGCTCCGTTTTACAAAGTAAAATCGATAAAATTTTTTATATAGTACAAGACGAGAATTACTCAATGTTATACTGGATGACAAATGTAAAGACCCGCTTTAATACAATAAATAAAAACAAGTGCGGACTTTGTTCATAATACATTGCGTTTCTATGCAGAATTATATACATATGCACATCGTGTCTTTTGAAACCACCTGTTGTTTTAGTCATTAACTATATGCAAGCATATCGATCAACATAAAAAACATTTGGTTATAACAATAGCGTGAAATATTGTAAACAATTTTATTACCCAACGATATTGAATTATAAAATACCAGTTAACAGGAAAATTATGAAATTTTAATGCTTCAATTAATTAATTTCCAAATTGCCACCAAGATTTTTTTCACAGGATTTGATATTTTGTAATCATTAAGATCCAAATTATATCCAATTAAGTCGTCATCCTTCCAAATATAATTCACATTTGATACATCAAAATTGCTAATTAACGAGTTATAAATCGTATCATTCACCTTATCTCCTTCTATTTTTAACCTTGTCGAATTTTCTTCTTTAAAATCAAATCTAAATAATTTAGAAGCGACAAAAGAAGAGCTAGATCCAAATGCATCAATGAAACATTTTAACATCAAATCATTATATAATAAGGCTGGCATGAGGATGAAAATAATCATGTTATTATTTGACTCTTCAACCTGAACAAAGCTTTCAAAATTTTGTTTTTCTGCTTCAGTGAAAGGTATTTCATCAAGAATTTCTGTCACTTTTGGTCCAACCTTTTCTCCCAAAGTGTCTTTCAGAAAATTATTTATCAATTTATCAAGAACTCCAAAACTAGCAGCTCCAACCGATTCAAGAGTCGAAAGAAAAGTTTCGTTTTCACTTAATGACTTAATCCAAGAAACAAATGCATCTGCTGTCATAAATTCTAATCTACGAATTATTGTTGTTAAGATTAGTGGTGACACGAGCAGACCACCTATTGCTGCTACCACAAAAGACCAGAAACCTTCCCAATTATCATTTTCTGAAGTTATAAAATTGTCATTTACAAACGCGATAAATATGACAATTTTAAATAATGTTTTATCAGATATCATCTTAATTTATAAAAACTTTTGAAAATCGTTTTTAAGAAAATGAGAATATTCTTTTTATGTTTTATAGCTCAGCGGGAAGGTTCTATATTCTCAAAGTGACAGAATATTTTTTTTATAGAATATTTTTTTTTTTTTTAAGAAGAGTTGCAAAACAAGTATCACTTATGGGAATTTACTTTTTTAGTCTTATTCACATCTATTAATTGCTCATCCTAAAGATGCAACTTCGGTCCATCTACCGTGGCTTACTGGGGTGCGCTGTCAACATAGTTTAATAAAACTATATATAGTCCTATAATAAAACTTACTATTAACGATCATTTTAACTTCGGGCTTTGCGAGCCATTTTTCTAATAAAATTCTAATAAAATATCCGAAATCTTTAAAATTTAATAACTTGTACTCTATTAACATATAAGTAACGCAGTAAAGTTAAATGGAGACGGAAATTTGGAGTATTTCGAAAAATCTGAAATGAAAATGATAAGAAGAATCCAGAGTTATTAAAGAAAGAAAATATAGCTTCGTTAATAGTAAATTTATTATAAAATAATTTAAATTATACTATAAAATAGCTTAATATAAAAAAATCTTCAATAGTAATTTTTGTTATATGGACCATACATAGTTTTGATTTAATTAGTTGACAGCGCACCCCAGTGGCTTACGTTGTGGCTGCGCAACAAATCATTGTGCTGTATATTTCCTTACAAATTTCGAAATAATTTAAGGTGACAACATTTTAACAGTTACCCAATTAAACCTTATGTGTGATTCTAAGCCGTAAAATAAATAATCCATCAGCCATGTAGAATAAAAGGAACCGGAATAAAATAAATGCCAAAATTATGAATTTAGAAATACTTTATTTGATCATACAGTTTTTAAATACTTTCTTAATATATAGTAAATATAGCTTGTTTTCATTATATAATCCAATTAACTTTTATATAATAATACTAACTGTTTTATTTAGTTTTAAATTTTGAGAGTTAATTTATACTTGAAAATGAGAACTTTATTTGGTAACCATAAAAAGATAAAATAAAATCATTAAATTTGTCATAGAAAAGATCATTGTACGAATATTGAAGAGTTATTGCTTTAATTTTTTTGGTGTGGTAAGGCATGCAGGACGCCATCAGAATTTCGTGATCGCCTCCTGCCTGTTCAAAAATCTTTTCGCTTCGCATACATTTTTATTGTTTCTCGTACTACAATCTGATAATTAAAAATGACAAGTGTTAAGGTTCACGAATCATTGCATGTCATTAAAATAAAAAAATAAGCAGTTAAAATAAATGTAGAAAACCTTAATGTTTAATATTGCAGCCAGTTTGACCAATACTGCTGAAAAAATCTCTTCTTTATCTGGGACCTTAGTACCTTTTCACGAATTCTACACACATAACCATGTGGGTTTTCCATATACATGATTTCCATCATTAACCTACAAAGTCGGTAGATGGTGAGTATACAATTCGTTATATAATATTTAGAAAATCATGCAGAAAAGTCATATACCCGAATGAGTTATTCCGTCAGTTTGCAGTTTGAACGTATTTCCTAAGGTTGCCGGGCAAAACCCGGAGGCATCGAAACCGTCGAAACCGAAAATCTTCGACTTTTGGTATGGTTTTGCTCGCAACCTTAGTATTTCAAATATCTTTAGGTTGATTTAAAATTTTTTCACTCACAAATTTTGTTCCAAATTTATCCTCCCAATGTCTTCCCACTTCACCCATCCATATTCGTCACGATAACCATTACCAGTCCCCTCGACGTTTCATACTACGTTTTTGTGTTGCATTTCTCTTTCTATTATTTCTGGTAGCAGTGTTGGCCTCCTTTATAAGTCAGCTAGTCCAATTGGCCAACGTTGGTCGCAATGTTACTTTCCATCTAGACAATTTGAACAGTAATAAGGAAAGAAAATGGTAATAATTTCACTTGATGTCTGCAAATCCTTTGCGTGCAATTATACCATGATTCTAGATTTGATTGTTTAAGACCGCCATTCTCAATTTCTCTGGTTCTATAAAAGGAATGTTTATAAGAGAGTGAAAATATAAAAGAAAATCGTATTGCAGGCAAATTTTCTAAATAAATACATGAAAACTTACAATGCGTAAAGTGCGAGCCGAATATAATCCAGATCGTGGTAAATTGATGAATCATAACTTTCGTTAAATCTATCATCTTGCTTGTTAATTATAGAACGCACTTCCTTTGTACTAGTCTACCAGAAAAAGATAGTCTGCACAAGCGCTTCAAGGCCTTATTACGGGTTCTTAAAAACGATAGAAACAATAGACATATCCTTTGCTAAAATCTATTGTAAAAAGTAAAAAAAAAAAATTCCCTTCAATATTCAAAGATCGGACGGTAAGAAATAAAAAAAAAATATCTTCTTCCTTTTCTTTTATTTCTTTTGTAAAAGAATGATTTATTTCTAGAACTAAAAAAAAATGAAAAAAATGAAATATCACGTTACGGATCATATGATTTATTTACTATTTTAATAGTATATACATAAATAGTGTTCGATAATGAAGATCCTCGAATCCCACAATTTCAACATTTCAAACATTTCAATATAAATAAGCACAGAAATCATCTATCAATTCCTCAGTGTTCTTGTGAAGTAGACGATGTCTATAGGCTGACTTGTGCTCCCCATGTCTTCGGATAGGGCGACTTTTGATCTCCAAGTAGTCTAGTCTTTTTCATAAGGTTTATATGCTCCCTCTTGTGAAGGAGACGATGTCTATAGGCTGACTTTGTCGTTCAATAAAGGGCGACATTTGATCGCCAAGTAGTCTAGTCCTTCTTCATAAGTGGTAAATTTTTTTTTTATATTAAAGCGGGTGGGATGATAGAGGGTGCGCGGATTAACAATTATTAGATTTAATCGAAAAATCAGTGTATTTTTTTTTTATATATTAAATATATTTTTTTTTGTAAATAAAAATTTAAAGATATTTAATTAATTAGATATTATTAAGAAATTTTTTATGTTTAAATAAAAAAATTATATTTTTGGTTTTTTTGTTGCATTATATTTTAACGCTAAATTTTTAAATTCAAATTACTTAAACTTTAAACATAAATTAAATACAATAAATTAAAATTGATCTTTCTTAAAAACTAAATATTTTATAATTAATTTTATTAATATCTTTATCAATTAAATTTGATTAGAATAATTTTATTATTTATAAATATAGGTATTAGTTCTGAAGAGGATAGCAATTAATTATATAGTCCTTCACTTCATTCTAGACTAATAAATATTTTTAAAGTTTAAAAAAATAATATAGATGCTTTGCAATAGAAAAAAATAAAACTATTAAAAAAAAAATTTTTTTTTTACTTTATAAGCTAAATATTATTTTTTTAGTAAAATAAATCCAGATTTAATATTAACTCAAAAAATTTTTCTCCTTTTTATTACAAAGTACCTATATAAACTTTTTACATATTAATTTAAAAGTAATATTATTTAATATAATTTGTAGCAAATTAAAATCTATAATATAATAAAATATACTTATTTTTATTTAAACATTAGTTTTTTTATCCTTATTAATTGTCTTAAAAAATCTTTTAATCTAATACTATTATTATTAATTTTAGATAATATTTAACTATATCATTAATATTATATTTATAGTAATAAAAGATTCAATTTTTAAAGTAATATAACTATCTAAAATAAGATATTATATAGAAGAATTTCTAAAAAATCAGGTTTTAAGAAATTTTTAACTAAAATTAAGAACTTAATGCATTTTAATCTAATAATATCAAAAATTAAAATGTAACAAAAATCTTAATTTTGTTAACAAATTCTTTTGAACTTGATTTTTCTAATAATTAACCCATATTATATAATTTAAATGATAAATATAAAATATTATAATAAAAAAAGTTAAAAGAAAATAATTTATTTATTATTAAATTTGTTTCTAATTGATAAAATAAATATTAATTTTATTGAAAACCTTTATGTATTTTTATAAATAATATAATAAACTAATTATTACTAATTATAAATTATACAATTTATATATGAATATATATATTATTATCAAAAAAAACTAATTAAGCTATAAAATAAAAAATTATAAAATCAGAAAATACTTTATTAAAATTTTAATTTTAAGAAAAAATAAAAATTAAATAAAAGTATCTTTAAAAAGTTAATCTTATAAAAATATAAAAATATTTTAAAATAATTAGAATAAAATCATTAATCTTAAAGAATTACTTAAATATTTATTTTTAGTAACTTTAATTAATTTAATAAAATTCTAATTTTTTATTTTATTTTTATTTATTTATAAAAATATATAAATAAAATACAATTAATTTTTATAATTATAAAAATTAAAATTTTAAAATAATTATAAAAACTATATATAAAGTAGTTAAATATTTTATAAATTATCTAAATAATAAAAGATAAAATTTAGCAAAATTATAATAAAACTTATTTTAAAATCTATAAAACTCAATAAAGGTAAAACTATATTAAAACTTATAAAAATAATGTTTAAATATTTTATCAAATCTAAAATTAATTTAATCTTAGTTATATATTATAATTATAAAAAATTTTATTATTAACTTTAACTAATAAAAATGTATTTATAAAAAAGTAATTCTTCCTTTAAGTATATTGCAAACAAATTTGTCTGCACTTTTATTTAATAAAATATTTTTAAATATTTTTAAAATAATTTATTTAAAAATTAATATTTTTATAATATTTTTAAGTTTATGTAAATATAGAAGGAGTCAATTCTAAGTAAAAATTCAAAAAAAATTATGATATTTTAAAGATAAATATATAATAAATTATTATAAAAAAAAAGTTAAAATTTTAAACTTATATATTTTAATCTCAAAAATATAAATATATTATCATTTAATAAAATAAAACTAACTAATTTAATAGATAAAATATAAGTAAACTAATAAACTAAAGATAATAATAATATATAATAAAATAAGAAAATTAATAAAAGATAGAATATTAAAATAAGTATAAAACTAAGTATTTTTAAACTTTATTTAATTTGTAGAATTAAGATTATTATTAGTATTAAAAAATCAGAAGAATTATATAGGTTCTTCATATTTTAAATAGATTAATTTTATAAAGTCTGCAATTAAAAATTATTTCAAAATAATATGAAAAAGATAATCAGCATTATTATTAGATTATTAAAAGATTATATTAGTATTAATAGTTTTTCAATTAACAAAAAGATTAGAATCAAAAAAGTTTATATATTAATAAAATTTTTTTTAATAAAGTAATCATTATGATAAATAGTTATATATACATTATTAAACCTTTTAAAATAAACATATTAACAAAATTCAAGTTTTTAATTTTTTAGATAATTTCTTTAGAATCAGACAATTTACTCAAAATTGAGATAAATATACCATTAAACCTTTTACTAAGAAAACTCAAATATTAATTTCTAAGACTGATCTAAATAAAAATGAAATGCCTTTATTAATACGTTATTAATTATTATATTAATTTTGAGAAATTTTTAATTATTATTAAGATTAAGAAAAAATTTAGGTTTGGCAAATGTTTTCATATTATATTAAAGAATGATATATAATCTTATTATAAAGTAATAAAGAGAAAAAGATCTTAGAAAATATTATATATTTCTAATAGATTATAATAGGCTAGTTGATAAAAGTTATTATATCATAATTTTCTAGAAAGCTGTAATACTATATGGCTTTATGATCTTATGTAAGAATAGAAAATACCTATATTTCGTTTATATAAGATTTTATTTAAATCTAATAAAATAGTTATATAAGATTAATCACTTGAAATATCTGAAATATGCAGAATGATTTTTTCAAATATTTAGTTTTTTTTTACTTACTGAATAAATAATGGAAACTGTTAAAACATCTGAAGTATTATATTAATAATATAAAAAAATGCAAATTAAGGTATTTTATTAAATAATGCAAATATGAATTTTATACACTAAAGAAAATTTATATACAAAATTATTTGTTTACTTTATTAAATATATTTTTAGATAATATTCTTTTTTAACTTTATTAAAAAAATATTTTTATTGATTTTTAATTTGATAAATTAAGTTTTGATTAAAGTGTACAGTCAACTCTTGATATAGCGAACTCTTGATATAACGAATTTTTTAAACAAATATAATAAAAATACTCTTGTTATAGCGAATTGGCCAATCAAATCTTTTAAAATCTTCACTATAGCCTTATAGCGAAGTTGAGGTCTAGGACATAGAGTTCGTTATAACAAGAGTTGACTGTAATTTTTTTAATTAACTAATAGTTGCTAGCCTATTATTTTATAATAAAAATAAATTATGTAACATTATATAATTTTCTAAAAAAAATACTTATGTAATTTATTTACATAACCATAATTTATTTTTCTTAAAAAACATTTTTTTTTTTAGAAATTTGTGTAATATTATATAAGTTAATTATTATTATGATATATATTTTTTTCATAAAATATTTATGTTATACTTTAATACATGCTATATAATACAAAATCAATAACAAAATACTCAAAATTTAATTTGTCAATCAATATATAGGTTTTATGCTATTTTCTTTGTGAAATTCAAAATAAGTTTATTAATAATGCAAAGAAGAATTTGATAATATATTTAGATTTCACTAATATTTCTAATACTTCTATTAATACTCTTACAAATTTAGATATAGTCACAATATCTCATACAGTTATATAATACAAAATTGCTACATCTGAAGAACATGCTGAAACTGTTAATTCTGTATCTGCCAAATATGCAAATAAAGCAATAGTATTAAATATTGATGATTATAATAATATTCATACTAAACAGATACCTAATACAACTATCATATTTATTGCTGCACATCTAGCAATAATATTAATGAATCCTATCTCTTTAAAGAATGTAATTCTAAGAATATATATACATAATTTCATATTGGTTGATGTTGAATTGATCAAAATAAATTCATAACATTTTATAGATTTTTACATAATTAGCATTGAGGATTTCATATAGTTAATGATAATACAAAATTAGAAGAATTAATAGTACATAATTATAATATTAGATTAAAAAAAAAATGTATAATTCATTCTATAAAAAATGTTATTTTTATAGATTTACAAGAAAATGACCTTTATTCTTTAAATACATATATTAAAGCTATTAAGGTCATTACAAATATTTTATTTATGAAATAATATATTCAAAAAATTGTTTATATTCTAATTATATATCTTTAGCATATAATTTTTTAGCTTCATAAAAGTTTAATATTTTTACAAGTTTAACATAATCCTTTTTACTTTTAATTAAAATTCATTACAAATTTTATTCAACTTATCCTCTTTTATCTTGAAAATATAATACAAAAGCATATAAACACTTTTTTGGTATTGCGAGATAATTACATAATAATTTTAAATATAATGATATTTTAAATCTTATTCCTAAAATTCCTATTATACAAAATCAATTAAAACTAGAGATATTACTTTAAATAAAGAAAAAATTATATGTGAAGATTTGTATTTTATATTTATAATATATATTATTATTAATTTTTTAGTATTAAAATATTTAATATTATAGGTTATCAATTTAATATTGATGAAATGCTTAATTAAAATTCTTTTGAAATATTTCATTCTTGGCCAACAGATTTTGAAATAAAAAATGCAATTGAAGTCAGTTTCATTAAGCATCTGAACTTGTTAAAATATTAGTTACAAAAAATAGATCAGAATCAATAACATATTTTTTTAGTAAAAATAGTTTATTATACATTTGTAATAATAATAATACTATATTTAATAGTTTTAATGATGAAGTTAATAATCAAAGTAATAATATTTAAGAATCACAAATTGAATTATCAACAGCTTTATCTATTTTAGCAAGCGAAACTTTACTTATAAAATTTGACTATACATAAAATACCAATAATATTTTATCTTCTAATTGTAAAACTCAATTAATAGCTTTATTAAAAGAAGATTTATGTATTATTTATAATAGTAATATTTGAAACTTTTATTAATATTTATTTTCTATTTTTTATATCTATACTAATATAAATTATTTTAAACAGATACAAACATTACTAGTTATAAGTTATCATCTAGTAAATTAAATATATAAGTAATAATTAATGAAAGGAAACTATATAAAGCATTTACACATAGAAATTTAAAACATCAAAAATTTTAAAAACAAATGTTGAAATGAAAACTAATACTTTAATTCAACCAAATATTGCAAGTAATATATATGCTTATTTAATTAATAATAATGAGATAGTTATAAAAATACGTAAACAACAAAAATGATAAGATCATTGAATAAATCATATCAAAGTATATACTTAAATAGAAAAGCTTTTAGACTATCCAGGTAATTTTATTTATTATAAACTATTAAATTATCAAATTATCAATAAAATTTTAATAATTTTTATATTTTAGAACAATTAGTTATTACAAATGTTACACTTATGTTCCCTCTTATTACTAATATATTTGTTATTATTATTTTTAATATGCAATTATATATTGCGAAATAATTGCAATATATGAACAAAAGGATAAATTTTATTCTTATATAACTTGACTAGTAACAGATATTCAAGATTTATCATATATATTTTTTTAAGTATTCACATATATTTAAGGTCATATTTTTGTTGAATTAGATGCAAATGGATATTCTTTATTTTTACATTATAATCCAAAACATATTATTTATAAGATTAGAAAACTAATGTGCAAATAGAAGAAAATATTCTTTTCTTAAAAGGAATAGCTAGAACTATATTTAACAACTTTAATGATACTAAATTTCATAATATTTTAGCCAAATTTTAATATTTATTATTAGATGTTACAAGTTAAATTTGTATATTTTTACTAGTTTTACAAAGTTATAGTTTAAATTTGTATCAATATCTTAATAAAAAAAAAGTATAACAATCATATAAAATTTTTTTTTTTGCCTATGACCTATCTTATAAGTTTCTAGGGTTCTCTTTAAACGTTTATTCTTAATTCTGAATTTTGATCTGACTACTCATGTAATTTAATCATCTTTACAGTTGTACCTATGATATAATAATGTAATAATAAAAAGAAAAATCTGGTATGATATATAAAATATAATTACATAATATGCTAGAAGTAGTTAATATATTAACAATAGTAATAGAAATTCACATCTCTTTTTATTTATATTAATTAAAAGAATTTATTAAGCTAAATAAAATAAATAAAATAAATGACTAAAATAAATGGCAAATAAATCAAATAATTTCTACATTATTTGAGAAGGCAAAAACAATTAATATTTAGTTTTTCTTTTTCGTCACTTCTTTTTTTTCCCATCTTTATTAGATCCTTTCTTTTTTCTTCTAATAGTTTTAGTAATTCATCAGTTATCTCAAATGTAGTTGTAATATATTTATTCTCTTCATACCATTTTTCAATTTCTTTTTTAGCTTTTACTGATATCAATTTAAATGTGTATTCTTCAATATAGTAAAGATTTTTCTCAAGAAAAAGAAAGTTTATCAAATTCTCTTTTATATTACATCCTTTACGTATCATTATACCATTTATATAAGACTATGCTATCAGGGTCTTTTAACCAAAAATGAATTATAATATAAAAACACAAGTCAAAAATTGGTAATACAATAAAGTTCAGCAAATCTCTCAATCTCATTAAAAACAAATATTTATCTTTCAACAAAGAAAGAAGTTTAGGCAAATCTTTTTTCTCACATTGTATTTCCATAACTAGAAAATAAACTAATTTAGCTTTGTAATTTTGTAGAAGCACTTTCCTTTAAAACTTTACCTCATTTGATAAATTAAAAATCTTTAATATTATGCTATGTGATTCATGCATATAGAATGACTTATGAAATTAAAATATTTATGTAACACCTATTATATCATTCAATTTGGTATTTTTCTGAATTTAGTAATAAATGATCATTTAATTTTTAGTAATATATTACATCACTCAGATTACCTATACATTTGATTCAGTATTTTTTACTAAATTTTATATACATTTTATTTATTGTTGCAAAGAAGCAATTTTATTCAGAACCTTATTAGGTAGACTTTTGGTTGAGTTTACTAGGATACATATTCTATGCATAACTGATGACCATTTTATTCTATTCAGAATATTAACGTTGAGATAATGAAATTAGATTAGAGTTAATATTGAGATGTATTAGTATATAGATAGCTTAGATGAATGAAACACTAGCAAGCATTAGTATAGAGACTCTACTTCACTTTATAAAACATTTATGTATTTTTGAATCTTAAAATTTATTTTTTTACATCAATAAATCAATAATTCTGATCATAACATTTTGTCATAGTTTTCTATCTATGCTAAATGAATTTTTGAATTATTCCATTTTATATAAAAATTATTATCAAAGATGTAATCTATTAATTTATTGAGAGAATTAAATTTTAAGCTCTTAGTTGAGATTGCAGAGCTTAGGAAGAAGAATGCTAAGATTTCTAAACTTAGAGAAAAATTACTAAAGTTTGCTAAGGTTGAGGCTAAGAATGCAAAGTTAAGGCAGATTATTAAGGAGAATGTAAATCATGATGCTGAAAATGATGAATATAAGATCAGAATTGAGAAATTAAAAAAAATAGTGTAGATATTTCAGCTGAAAATGTTGAGCTTAAAGCTAAATTAACTAAACTAAGACATAATTTTAATTCCTTTAATCTTATGAGACCTTAGCAACTATAGCAATACTAGCAAGAAAAATTTGAAACACATTTATTATCACTCTAAGCAACAAATTCCTTGAATATGATGCAAATTAAAATATATAGAAATTAAGTATAGTGGTAAGTTTGAATTGAAAATATTACATTGCTTATTTTTACCTCAGTTGTTAATCTTCAGAATTTATGCTATAGATTCAAAATTTTCTATCTCAGTGAAATTCTATTGTGAAACTTAATACTTTATGTCTGTGTGTAAGTAGGAGTAATATTAGGCATAGATATAGGTGGATTATTTATTTTAAAAATCTAGTGTAGTAAAGAATATGGGATTAAGAAAGATGTAGAAATAAATTATCTGTAAAAATTATTCTGAAAGCAAAAAAATAATGTAGTGCTGGGACTTGTATTAAATAGACAAAGATCTACATTCTTTGATAGCATCAGATATTTTGCTTGCTTCTCTACCATCTTTATTATGTAAAAATAATAAATTTTATCTATGATCTATCATTTAACATATATACAAATAAATTAATATCATTAACTTTAATAAAGCTGTTCATTCTAATATTGTCAACGAAATCCTAAACTAAAAAATGATCTATTAGCTTATAAGCCTAAAACTGCAAATGCATAGCTAAAAAAAATATTCAAAACACTTAAAATTGCATAATGTCTCATCCAGAAAATCAAACTTAGGAATAGATAATAATCTCTTAATCTCATCAGATAAAAGAATGTACACATACTGACAGAAGTATAATCACCAAAAGATAACTTAGATATTCACTGACTCATAACTTTACCACTAATGCCTGGCCGCATAAAGTCACAGTATCTTCTAAGTATCTAAAGATACAAAGGAAGCACTTTACCGCCAATGTCTAGTCACATGAAGAACTATAGCAAAGATAGTAGATCAACTTCTACTACCAATTCCTAGTCACGTAAATAGTTATCAGTCAATAAGTAACTCATAATTTATCGCTAATGTTTGGCTGCATAAAGCCATAATGTCTTCTACATATTTAAGAATAAAATACAAGAGAAGCATCTTACCACCAATACCTGGTCACATGAGAACTTCAGCATAGTTGCATCCTCTATTACTATATCAAATTTTGTCAAAGTGCTATGCAAGAAAATTTCTAATTACTTTTTACTAATTAGCAATATAACGATTAGTTATAAATTATAATATGCATCTGATTTTTAAAAATGATCATCAGATAATCCACTTATAATTATCTCATAAACTTTTTTCTTATTCTCATTTTAGCATATAGCTTAATGACTATAATATTGAGATTAACAAAGCATTTACATTTTGTGTTGCCTAATTTTGAAGGTATACATTTATCTTCAACAATGTCAAAGCTCAAAACTAGCAATTCAAACATTATCTATATTATCGCTTGAAAGAAGATAAATCAATCCTATTTTGGATGAACCTTTATGATAATTGGAAGAAGTCACTAATATTATTATAAAAAGTGATACTAAAAAAGTTCTGGGTAATTTGCATACTTTCTATATTGATCTACTGAATAATAATGAAACCTTCAAAGGTTCTATTGTCTTACAAAACTGTAAAGATTTGTATGAAGATTTTTATAATAAGAACCTTAAGATACAAATCTCTGATAGAATTCAAGAACTAGAAAAAACTTTATTCACTTTCCAAAAGATTTCAAAGCATTTTTAAAAAATAACAAGAGGATAAAGTAATTGCATGATGACAAAGAAGTATAGCAAAGTGAAAAACGTAGTCAACAAAATGTGTGGGTTTTTAAATTCAAACTCAATTAAATTAAATCTATGTTATTTAATATATTATCAACACTACTTATTTTGACTTACCTTTATTCTATTATTTATGATATAACATATTATTAATGATCAAGATAATGAAAAGAAAGAATTTAGCAATGATAAGTCAGAAGCAGATTTAGAATACAGCGATGATAAGTCAGATATTAATAAAGATGAAAATGTAATTAAAAATATTAAAAAACAGATTGAAGTTGGAGTTGAAGTTAATCCAAATGTATCTAGATCTGTTTCAGAAGATTTGACAAATATTCTAAAATATTCTGATAAAAAAAGCCTAATAGATATTTGGAAGTTATCTTTTAAAATAACTGTTTTCAAAGCAATTCGTAGTCTTATCACTCTTCACAAATCTTAGTAAGTTCCAAATCTTTTATTTTTTCCTTACATTCTATTTAAACATTTACATACTTAGCTATCTATGTTACAGCCTATCTAATCTGAGAATTATATGCATTAGAGCAAATGTTTGACAACTTGAATGGATTCAGAAAAATGATTGGAGATACTTACAAGCAAGCATTAAATATCCTAAATGTTTTTTAACCAATGATGTGACTGATCTCTTCAATACTTTGCTTGAAACAGTAATTATCTAAAAGATATTTTCTGATATATATTTGATCTTTATCTATTTAACTAACTATAGGACTCATTAACAGATTATACAGAGTTTTTTTATAATAAAAATTTAACTTTAAGGAAAACAAACAATTAGTATTTGTTACTGATATACTTTTATGGTTGTAAATATATTTAACTCAAACACTAATTATTGTTCTTACAGTTACTAATTATTATTTAATTTTAAAGTGCAAAAATAGTATTCAATCCTACTAGTGCTTTTCATAACCTTTGTTTATAAGAATCAGTTCTGAATTCTTTTCTAGTTTATCCTATCTTATAGTATCTTATCAATGCAAGTGATCATGATATTATTTATATACTGTAAATATCAAATCGATGGTTCTTTTATTTTTTCTTTGTAATAACAATATTTTACAAAAATAGAGAAGAGGCTTACCTTTAGACAAGTGCAAACTAGCGTTTAATCTAATATGATCTTAAATAAGAAGATGATAAACCATTGGGTCTCAAAGTCGATAAGATTTTTCAGTCATCTGATATTGAATTTAGAATGGTTAAGTTTAGAGTTCCAGACGAGTCAAGTTAACTCATGAGTCAGATAAGCCGAGTCGAGTTTAAATCAAGTCGAGTTGGTATTTTTTTGACTCGATGATTTGCGAGTCAAGCCAAATTCGAGTCGAGTTAAATATTTAACTCGACTCGATTTAAACTC